TTTGTATTTCAAAATTCACAACATTCACTTTTGATTTTTTGGTACAGTAAGCATTAAGCAGAGAGAAAATCAAATCAGTCGCTCAGCAGGAAGGAAGCAACACAAACTGAAAAGTGAGACCTTGGCTTTCAAATTCTGACCTAGATGTAGTAATTAATATGCACAAAGAAAATCTTAGATGGACAAAACCCACAATTATGTGATTCAGGGCTTACTAACCTGGAGGGACTAAGTTTCAAATAATCCTGACTCTATACTAAGCTGCTATACATGCTTGCTTGGGCTGATTAAGTTATTTTTCCTGTAGCTAGGGAGAGCTAGCTCAAGAGAAGGTAACTCTAACATATTTGTACTTATTTAAAAAAAAAAGGGAAAAAAAATACCTTAAGCTTTCAACATGGGAGACATCATTGTGGCCTTCCAGTACTTGAAGGGAATACAAACAGGAGGGGGAACAGCTGTTTAAGAAGTTGTATAGTAATAGGACAAGGGGGAATGGTCTTAAACTGAGACAGGGAGGTTTAGGTTAGATATTAGGATGAAGTTCTCCACACAGAGGGTGGTGGTGACACTCTGGAACAGGAGTCTACCATCCCTGGAGGCATCCAAGACCAGGCTGGATGTGGCTCTGGGCAGCCTGGTCTGGTGCTGGGCGACCCTGAACATAGCAGGGGTGGGTTGAATCTCGATAATCATTGTGGTCCTTTTCAATCCAGACCATTCTATGAGTCTACAATATATGATAAAGAAATGAATACATCATTGTTTGTTTTTTAAATCAGAAAGGCACAGAGCATATTATTACCAAAAGAACACTGCTTCATTTCAAAGAGTCATAAATTCACCTTAGTCCATTTCCAAGATCCCAGTTGTAAGATTTCTCCACACCTACATCACATGCTGCTTTTATACCAAGTATAATACCAACTATTTCTGAGTACTCTGGGAGCTTAATGACAAAAAACAAAACCAAGAAGAAAACTTAAGTACATCAATCACTGAAACAAACTCTCCCTTCCAATATACCTGTGAGTGCAGAAACTCCTGCTTAGATTACTTTAGTATTCCTGCAGATAGCATTCAAGCACCACAAACACTTTTACAGCAGAGATGGAAGGAGGTTTTTGCTTCAGAAAGGACTGCTGAAGCCTGCTTCCATAGATTACAAAAATCAAAGGATTATTCAGAAAGGAAAAACAGAGAAAGGACATGAAAGGAAGGAATCAATTTCAGTTTAAGCAGTTTTTTTCCAAGCGTTCCGTGCTTTATTTTACAAAACAGGCATTTATCCCAGAAACAGATACACAGAACTGAGAGCCCTGCAAGGCAATAATTCAAAACTCAATTATCTAAACAGTTATTATGACAAACATTCTACGTAAAGATTCAAATTTTTAGCTGCCAGACAAGATGTCCAGTTCAATGAACAAAGGTTCTTTCTATGAAGAAGTTAGGAAAGTTCTGCTTTGCTAGCATTTTCTTTTAAGATTCACAGTTTCAGCTCCAACTGATTTAATGTGTATGAAAACTGACAAGCTCAACCTGCCCTCAAGATACACATCTCATACCCAGTGACACGACTGTATTATCAATTCATTTCCTCCTAACATAGTGTAAGCAAGCATCCCAAATCACGTGCTATATACAAGAGACCACTATGAAAAATAACACTGAGACACCTATAACACCAACACCTTAACAACCCGAAAATTAATTTTGACTTCATTTATTTTTTAAAAAACCTCTTCTCCCTTTACCTCTACCACTTTTTTCCCCAAACATGCCCAGCTGTCTCCAGCACCAAGATGGCAATTCCCTTGCCCCAGTTTTCACATTTGTGAAGATCAACAAGCAGCATTGGACTAGGCAAAGAGCAAGGACAACCTGTGGCAGCTAAAGAAACCATAAGGGAGGTTAAGTTCTCAGTTGGTTAGACAGTCAGCTCACCATAAAACACTGTTGCATACCTTTACTCAAGCCTGCAATTATGTTGCTTCTACATAATGCATCCTCCCCTTTCTAAAGTTAAGCTACTATAATGGGAAGTAAAACCTTCTGCTAAACAGATTCAATTTGGCTCTGAAAAATGGTTACATAAAAATGTCACATTATTCATAAAATCCAGAAGACTTGGGGAAAGCCAACAGAAGTTTCAGACAGACAGAACAGGATGAGTCATCCACCTGAGATTAAATCAACCACTACTCCCAGAGGAGGGTAGAATGGCAAAAAGATCAGGTTGGAAACTACTGAATAACACTTTAATCAAGAGCTCTAAAGTGAAGTTAAAGAAAAGTGAGCAAACGCAAATTCTGGAAGTCTTATAGACAAAAAGGATGCATGAGGTGGAATGTACAGCTTTAAAAACAATATACTGAACTTGTGAGGTTGCTAAAGATAGTCATGAAACGATGCCGCAGCCAAGTACAGCAGTAGGGTAATATAAGGGGCTGTACAGATACAAGACTTGGGTTGTGCATTATAAAATGCTCAGAGCCACGTGTGAATGTCAACCAATCGACAGCCAACAAGTGACCATGTGTGTGACATTAGTGAAGCACTAAAGCCATGTTGCCAGTATCAATTCAACAGCAACAAAACTAGTGAGATTTGCATAGAATAGAATCATGAGACTTCTAAGTGTTGAGAAGATATGCAGAGATTAATTCTTTAGCTGCCATGAGTAATTGTGTGTTGAAGCAACTGGTCACAGCAGACACAAAAGAAAAGACACCCTTTATTTAACCCACAGTACCTACACTAATATGTAGCTTCTGAAGAATACTCTGTAACAGGAGTATCAAAGCACTCATATTCAGCACTTAAAAAAAAAAACCACTAATTTCAGCAATGGAAGCAACATAACGAAGATGCTATTAGAAGATAATTAGAGGCAGATATTATGAGGCAGAATGCAAGCATCAAGACAATTTTTTAGAGACATACATAGAACACTGAAGAACATCTTGCTGAAGGAATCACTACTTTCTCTAAAGACAGCAAAAACAGAAGAAACCTCCCCAAAACCTAGGGACAACAGATTTTGAGCTGTGCTTTCATCTGCCTAGCATTTTCCTTTTGCATCTTAATCCATCTCTACATATATGCACACTACAGAGGACACGAAAAGTACATGTAAATTCTCTGTGGAAAAGACAGCTTGAGATCTGTTTCAGACAATGATTTTTTTAAAAAGAAGCAATGAAATCAATTTCCAGGGAATGCTCCTAAGTTATCACCTTTACCACAGCAGTGCTAAAGGAATTCAGATATTGAAGTTTAACACTACATGGCAAACTAATATTCAAGTCAACTTCATTTTAAAATGTCTTCTAGGAGGATTCAAGAGACTGCAGGTAAATCTGTATCAAGCTGATATTGAAAAATTACAAGAAAAAGAATTAGTGGGCACATAAGCAAATCACATATCACAAAGAAAAGCCAAAGGAGCAGTTGCAGATTGGTGCCATGCTTCCCTGATCAAAAGTTTTTTAAAAGAACAGGCAAGTAGATAAGGAATGACATGCCTGAGAGAACCCACATGAGTTATTTAACTTCTTAGAAGTTCTTTACAAAGACACTTTAAAAATAAATAAAGGAGGGGGGAAAAAAAAGAGGAAAAAAAAAAAAAAAAAAGAACAAAGGAAAAACCCTCTCAAACTACGGACAAAATCCCCAAGCAATTTTGGAATAAAGCTACTGTTACGGGTAACAAGTGATGTTTCCCCACCTATTCAGTCCGACTGTTTATTGTACAGAAATATAAACATTTGATGGTTTTTGCTCAAGCTATCAACACTCCTGAATTTCTCTGTTTGGACAGAACAGGACTAGCTGTTACGCCCCATGATTTTCCTCAGTCTATTCAGAGGAACTCCATGCTGGAGTCCCATAATTAACTTGATTGCTCTCCGTCCTTGTCTCTACCAGGTTTTGCCTAAACTTATTCATCTCACCTCACTATTACAACAGGGATACTAGGATAAAACATCTAAGCCTTTACCTGTCATCTTTGCAAGACTACTTTGGAAGGCACATAAAGCTAAAACACCATGATTTATTCACTACACAAAGAAAAGTTGCCCAGGGTTCCTTCAAAACCCATATTTCTTATGATTGAAGTGTTTATGGTTTTTATCAATTTATCACAATAATTTACATTTAATTGTGCAGCAGTGAGATTCCTACAAACCTCACAAACAATACAGCACTCACAGCAGGTAGCATGCAGGAATGTATCAGGTACCTAGTGATTACCTCTCACCTCAGAAATTTATTCTACCTCTAAAGCCACAAGACTGCATTGTCTAAATGACTGCTATATAAAACATTTGAAAATATGACAAGGAAAAACTGGCAACTTATTCCTAGAAAGGCAAGGATACAAAGCAGAAAGGCAAAGGATACAATTCATCAATCACCTGCATAAAACAGAAACCTGCAATCTTTTACAAACTGACATACAGCTTCCTCAAGAAGTTCAGTCTCAAGCGCCTGCAATAAAGAAAGCCTGCCCTCTTTGGACAGTTAAGCCACCAGCTGTGCTTGCAACCATGCTCTGGACGGCACGTAACCAAGTGCAGATGAAGACCTCAGTTGAAGGAGCTTAAGGAACATAAATATACAGGAAAGCCTCATCATGCTATCACTTTCTGGTTTTGTTCACTTTATCATCCAACACTTCCCACAGCTGTATGTAGATTGCCACTTCTCCCAGTAACACTCCACTTCCCATTTCACACTGCAGGTACTTGTGATCACTTAGTGTCTTTTTTTTTTTTTTTTTTTTTTTTTTTTTTGAGATATCTTTAAGGCTTACTGCAATGAGGAAAGAATAAAGTCTTTTTGTAACTGTGCCAACAGCCCTCTTGCTTGCCTTTACCTAAAACACTCAGCATAATCGTCCCAGTCATCTATAGTTAACAGACTAGAGATAAAGAAAAGAGAAAATGCAATTTGTCATTTGGATCATAATAATAGTTTGATATCTACATCATTACCTTGCCTGTGCTTTGTAAGATTGTAGTTCTTGTCCTCCATACTCTCTCCCTGCTGACAATATCTCTGGTTACATCCACTTCAGCATCAACAAAACTTCTCTGTTTAAGAGCAGTTATGTCATCATCCAGATCTGTTTTGATAGTGGATCTTTTCTTTGCCATGATTTTTGCTTTGATAGCAGCAATTTTTTCCACTGACATGGCTTCTGACAAGGACCTAAATGAGCAAAAATAGCAGAAGAGACTGAGTAACAGCACAAACAATTCTTCTGAAAGAATTTGTGAAATTTCCTGCTGCTTAAAGGTTTATGTCCATGCCATAAGAAGTCACCTCACGTGTACCTAAAGATTATACAAGCCTGAACAATATTTTGGGCATTAGAATCCTTTTTTTCTGACACAAAGCTTCCATATAGGTATTAGCACAAAAAAAGCCATCATAATATCTTAACTGTTACACGCAGAAATAAAAAGTGCAAATGTAAAGCATCAGTTCTACCATTTCCATTTATAACATCATCTGAATTTCAACTCCAAACTTCTTACAGCAAATTATACTTCTGTGTGTAGTCAGTCAAACCCTGGCTGCTCTGAGACTTAGGAAGCATTACACCAAGTTTAGGTCGAAGCTCTGTTATGCGGACTTGAGCACTGGGAAGTTTGATGTTACCTTTACAGAGCATGTAGGCCAAACAAACAGATGGTAGTAACTTTGTCCACACTAAACTCGATGTGAGGAAGCTCAGCTCAATCCAATATCTTTGTCTGTTTGCTTTTAATTGTGAACACAGTAGGATTTGGTTGCCAAACAGTGAGCCCTATTGTTTTCCAGGTAAACTGTACAATAAAAAGCACCGAATTGCAGTCTGAACTACATATATCTGATTCAGTTGTGCATGGGTTTTTTTCTGAGATCACGTTGCTTCACAACCAGCATTTATTGTATTAAATGTTCTACTTCCTTACATGACTAAGCTACTGGATAAGGAACTTTTCTGTATTGCTGCAACAGTGACAAGCACACACTCCAAGCTAATGGCCTGTGAATGTCACTTGCACTTTTAAAAAGCAAATTCCCTGCATTAATATTAAGCCTCTGTAAATATAGAGCACAAAGTAACTATGAACAATACTCAGTAATCCTCACTGCAGCACTGTTTCATATTCTAAATCAAAAGTGTGACACATTCCTGCTAACTTCCACATCATCACCTTACACAAAACAACATACATAGTTACACTTTTTGATTCTTAGGCTCTCTTTAGTCAGCTGCAACAATAAAATCTGTTTTGTTCCTTCCCCACCTCTCTCCCAGTTACCTTTTATGCATACCTATAGAAGACAGGGATGACAAAGTTGCTGTTCTTAAGAGTGATTAAATTTACTTGGCTACATTACTTGTAGCAAGTCTAACTGGTAAATTTGATCCTGGCACAGGATAAATACACATTCACAGTTTTGTTTATGCTCAAGAAACGAATTTCTCAAGAAAGCAGATAGTCTATCAAGTGAAACTAGTGATTTGCAAAATCTAACACAGATGAAATACGATGTTAATGCACATTCCTGTGCTTCCTGCAAGTAAGGTGTGACTCACATTTTGCATTCTTAAAGCTGACAAACAACAACAACAACAAAAATAACAACTATACTTACATCAAAGCTTCAGAATTTAGATATTTGAAAATGAGCTGCTAGAGCCTTGCATCTCTAAGCCTTACTACCTACTAAGCCCCAAATTCTTATCATTAACAAGGTCTTGCAATAGTTTCATTTTCTCTCAGTCTGGCTTGGGAAATATGTGATGTCAAACACAAAAGCAGCTGTCATTCTCTACGAAACTCTGAATACATACAACTGAAAAAAAAAAAAAGCTAATAGGCAAATTTTTAATCACTTGAGTATTGATTACTACTTAAGGCAGTGACAATACCTCATCCTCTGGAACTTACTGCCTCTTCAGTAGAAACAAGCTCACCTCTGCAGGGAGCCAGAGGCCCTGTTAATTTGGGACACAGTCCTGCAATGCGCAACGTCCTGCACAGTCCTCCTCAACACAAGATTATTATTATTATTATTATTATTATTATTACTTCGAAATACAGAGAGTTCATAAGACTTCCTTTGCAGCTCTCCTGATTGTTTTGGACTCCTTGAATAAATACCATGGCAGAAGAAAGGGTAACTGGTACAGTTTGAAAAGGAGACAGTTAACAGGAGACAACTGTTCTGAATACAAACCGTGGTACTTCATGCCATGACATCTGAACTTCCACCCAAGAACAGGAGTATTATTCCCAGGCATGAAGTTCTGCCCCCTCAAGATACAATTTTTGATTATAGCATCTCAAAAGAGTGAGAGCAGGCTATCGCTGTGAGTAGCCGGACAAAATAAAGACCATATGTCTAAAGTAACACACTTGTTATCAGACCTTTATTTAAATGTTATCCATAGGAAATTCAAGTATGCCTACCTGATCTGCTCTGTCTGCACGATACCTTCTTTATGCCCCTCCAATCGAGCTGCCAGCCGCTCTTTGTCAAGGCGCACACACTCTTCATCCTGGCAGTAACAGTAATGGTTAATTTTGGTGTACTGTCTTCAGTAAAACAAAACTAGAATTAAAACTATTCAGAATACTTTAAAAAAACTAAGAAGGTCTACCTTGATTTCCAAGCATAACTTACTCGAGTATTCATTTTACAAACGATACATCACCTCAGAGCAATCATGTGCTTGTATGCCATTACAAATGCCCGAATTTCTTACAAATTCTTATGCAGACACAGTTAAACACACAATTATTTTCAGTAATTCTTAACTCCAAGAAGAAACCTAAAGCCTTAACATTCCGGAGGTACATACAGCCAGAATAGAAAACTCAGAATTATCAGCGAGGAGACTACTGGATGAACATGTTTAAAAAATAATTGATAAAAACAAAGTCTTTAAAAACAGGCAGAATCAAGTAATAGTGTGTGTAATATCTAGACACACTGCTCTTGTGGAAATACATCATTCATTACTTAAGACAAAGCTTCAGAAAACTGTTTAGATTTACTTCAGATTTACTGTTTTCTGAAGCTTTGTCTTAAGTAATGAATGATGTAAATCACAGGGACAACAGTTATATCTGCTATAAAGAAACTGAAAGAGCAGATAAATAAGTAAACATTGATATGACTGGCTTTTAAGTTATAACAGCAAGTCACAAACGGCAGTAATTACTCATCAAACAGCATGTAGATTCCAATCCCATGGTTCCTAGCAAGCAGATCATAACATAACTAGCACTTATAAACACAAGGTCAAGCTTTACCCTTTTACACTACAACATACGTCCAGTAACTAAAATTCCAAGTTTAACTCAGAGGCTGAAACCTGTAAGTTCTAACTCCTTCCAGTTCATGTACATGCTAACAGAAGTAACACACGCACCCAGAGGACAGGCAGACCAACTGAACTGTACTATCATTTACACTCCTTTTCCCCAGATTTGTTTTGGAAACAGCTAATCTTATTACCTCTATTCTTGGCTTCTTTGCTTCCGCTAATATTTCATCTGCTGCTCTCTTAACTACAAGAAAAACAGGATATTAAAAATGCAATATTGTAGCAGACATTCATAAAATGAGTACTGAGATTACTTTCTAGTTAGACTGTACCTTGAGTGGAACGTTGAAGACCAATTTCAAGTGGAGCACTTCTGTCTATACTTGATGACGTTGCTGAAATCAAACAACATTTCATTTAAGTATAAAACATTTGCTGAAGTATTTCAGCATAAAAGGATGAAGGATAGCAGATAAACCTCAACAACAGAAATTCTAATTAGTGAAGTTGGTCAAACACTGGAACCAGATCTGTCCAAAATCTGACCCCACATGAAGTTAAGATCAGATTATTCAGGGTCATTTGGCTCTTCTTCAAAAAGAAGATTGAATCGCATCACATGACTCTTGTCCCTTCCAACATCAAATAATCAGCAACTAACTCTATGACGTGCATATACAGCACCAAATAAAACAATTGCTAAAATAGTTACATATAACCTGCAATTAAGAACTACTGGTTCATCTAATTTTTTTTAAGACATGCATCCTAGGGGCCCCTCTAAAACATAAAAAAAGCTTACTGTTCCTATTACAGAAATTACCTCATTGCAACAAACAGAAGGTCATCTATGGTACAGAATGACTTGTAAAACTAGGTCATATTTATCTTCTAGTCACAACGAAACCTCCTCTCTCTGATTATTGGCAACTGAAATTTTAACATGATTAAATACCAGGACAATCTTCCAGACTGAAAAAGCAGTGATTTGATACATTTTATTATGCTGAAGTTTTTATCCCACACACTTATTGCATTAAAAACAATGTGAAACTACTGAAAGTTTCTCACAGTCTAAAGAGAACAAAATACAAACACTGAGCATTCTAGGACAACTATCAGGCAAAGGATGTTAAGAAAACTATGAAAAGTAACTCAGTTTGAACATGATTATAGTAATGCAGCTCCTATCTATGCATCATAAAAATATTTAAGTTCAGAACAAAATGGAGGAGAAAAAAGAAAACCTCATTTTGTTAGCAAAGTCTGAACGTATTCAGTTAAGTTACAAACTGACCACAATTTAAATCCAATAAATACGTGTTTAATAGAACTCATCACTCACATGTTTCCCCATTTAGGTATGCAAGCAAGTCTTTTCTATCAGGTCTTCTTACCACAGGAATGTTTTCAGTCTGAAAGGAGAGCAGACGCAACATTAGAGAGTTGTTTCCTTACAGAGCCTCTAGATGAAGATTTCTCCCTTTTACTGAACACCACTCATTCACACAAAGACAAGAACATGTAACCTGCATCACAAGAAAGCATAGCTATCAAGACAAAAAAAATACAGTCACTATCTAGAGGATGTCCGGCTACACAATATGAACCGACATTTGCTCTAAAATAAAGGATAGCCTCTTTCCTCCTTCATTTTACACTTGCAAATAGGACTTTTTCAATATACACATACTTGATTGCATAGTTTTTTCCCCTTTTCCAGGGAAATTCAGACAGTTAAACACTACAGTCATTCTCTGAACATAACCGTGCAAACATTACTTCAGACAAACAGGACAAAATGAAGTTCTGCATTGTCTACTTACTGCAGCACGACGGACATAAACAGGATGTGAAAGGTGCACATTATTGAGGAGGAACAAGATAGAATCCAAAGTGTAGTATTCCCTGGGCTGACCTTCCTTCCCTGTCCTGTAAAGTCAAGAAACAAAGACTTGAAAATTTAACCACCCCAAAAGTCCTCTCCTTTCCACATAACAGTATTACTGCTCGCTTTTTGAACTGACATCAGGCTATTTCCTGATCATGTTAACAAACACTGGTAACAGAGATGTGTTCTTATAGCCTACTTACTGAATGCATTATAAAAACTGTCCAAAATAAGAGCCAGATAGGTTGTACAGCATACAGGCAAGATTTAAAAAACCATATTCTCTTCTGTCTCAAACATGTTTACTTGTCTGATTATCAAAGGAACAGTCTACTTTTCCTGGGATATGCAGAAGAATGCATTTGAACTGCAAATGAACATCACATACTGTTCACTTAGCACAGAACTGGAAGGTTGACAACACGAACTTCAGAGTGAAAACAAACAGACCTTTACTAACAGAGAGAAAATATTTCAAAATACTGTTAGAATTAGTAGAATAAAGGATCTTTTTATCTCTGTTCCTTCCAAAAACTTAGCCTGCATATGTGCACAGCAGAGGGGAGGGTTGTATTTTGTTGCAAGCACAGGGAAAGGGATGAGACTCAGAAACCATTCAACTGCTAGAAAACCAAAAGCTGGCTGAACACCTACAGCCCACAAAGCTGGGTTACTTTGCAAGGAATTGTTTGGCTGTTATTGTTTCACTGTTATCTCTGATCAGGTGGCACACACACTTAGAGCACTGCTAGAAGTGAAAGCTTCCTCCACGCAGACTTGACACATGCTGCACTTCAGAACCATGTGCCACAGTTGCTGCTTCATTTTAAAATGCACATTTCAGGTTCTCTCTTTTCAGACTAAGTTATTATACCTCTGAAGCACATCACAGCCTCTGAACACTATACAGGAAGTCCAGCTGTTCACTTACTTGAAATTTTTATTTGCACTACTTAGCAGTGAATGGCATTATTTGGGAGGCAAATGCTGAGCGGTTATATCTTAATTTAAGAAGCCAGTATGACATGCCAAAGGCATTGCCCAAGCTTAGCAGTGCACAGCTGGTACTCCACCACTTGCAACAAAACCCCACATTCGGCATGGCTGTTAGGGGTGTCCTGTTAGGAGGGCAGTTTTCAAGGCAAAGAGTCAGATGGACAAGCAGGGGTACAGCAAGGAGATAACAGAAGTCAGAACTGGCATTTTAGCATCACACTGTGATCCTTTCAGATTTCCCACAGAGAACCCGCTCACTAAACAGAGAGCTAAAAGCTTGCTGATATGAATGTAGCTTACTTCACTCAATTAACCAACACCAGAATAGCTAAAGAAATGAATAATCCTTTTATCCCTTTTTAATAATGACATCAATTATTTCAGACCTTGTCAGTCCAGCACTACTATTTTTATTTGTTTTTTATTTATTTTTTAATTTATTTTTGAAATATGCAAGTCTCAATTTCTCAATACCCATTAAACTCCAGCTTAAAAACTGAAGCAGAAGAGATGTACGTAATGCAGAAGAGAAAGTTTCACCTGGTTAGTTTTAATGGCACAAATGTATTTCCAGTTCATGCATTCACACTGAACTTTTGGGCAACAGGAGTTCACTCATCCTTTAACTGTTCTATTTCTTCTTGTGTGTTTGAAAGCATAAAGGCCTGCATCCTATCCGTGACAGAAAGTGATAATCCTCAGAACCACAAGACTAGACATGCAGAGCACCCTCCAAACTATAACAGCCACAACCAACAGCTCACTGTTTAAAAATTTCTCAGATGTGGATATGATCCCTCTGATGGGTAAACAAGGCAGGTAAGGCGCTCTGTTAGACTGATTCCTGCTTTTGGTTTTGAAACTCATTCTATACTCACTCTTATGCAGCCAGAAGTCAAGCATTAAATCAAAACACACGCCTTCAGAACTATTCAGTTATGTTCCGCGGATTCAATCGGGGAACTGGCCTGGATTAAAATGAACCTCTGTATGTTTTTCAGGCTGCTTTTCAAGCAGCACCGTTCCTCAGAGCAATGCACTGCTTACAGCCCCTGGTGCCAGCAGGGAGAGCAGGCAGTGCAGGGCAGCTCAGCATACCCGCAGCACCGCTGGCTCCTGCCAGCTCCGTGCTCAAGGAGCAAGTGTTAAATGTCTACTGGGACTACTTCTAATTCTAGAAGGGACAGAATGCCACCACTGCTACTCAGACTTAGATTACTCTCTCCTGACTGCAGAAGACTGTAGAGATGCAATTACAGCAACCACGCTGTAGACACCTAAGATGGAAATCGTATTTGCCTCATGAAAGATTAAGCTACAACAACTGCAAGCACAGCTTGGACCCTCCCAAGTGATTGAGGATATTAGAGGTTTTGAATCTGAAAAGTTCCTGAAGATGTTCCATGTATGACCCTGAAATTACATAAATTAACAGCTCATAAACTATGATGTCAAAGCTGCTCAGCACGGCTTGTAGAACTGGTTTCATTTTTACACCTTTGTTTCAAGGACTTAAAGTACCCATGGTTCACAAAAAATGCTCTGCAACAGTAGCGGTCTGATGCTACCAGAAGTTCAGATGCCATCTTCTTGAGTGTGAACTACAATTTACTAAAAAAAAAAAAAAAAAAAAAAAAAAAAAAAAAAAAAGATATCCCTAAAATCCGTCAGAAGACAAGAGGAAATACATAGCTGTTACAAAGCTACTGCTTCTGTTCAGCTACGCATACCCTCTGCTCACCCCCAATCCTTCCTCCATATAGATAAAGCCACCTTAACGCACATAATAAAGTTTTTCTCTCCAGACGCTGTCTTCTTGTCTTTTGGTAATAACTCACAGGCCCAAATCAAGTTTTCCTAAGCATTAGTAGTTCAGTTTGCATATCAGCTTCTGTGTTCCTACAGAACAGGGATGAAAGTTGTCTGTCCAGTTAGCCTTTACTCCTTACTGCTCAGAAAGACAAACTGCAGCAAGGAAAACACCCTAACTGCCCAGAGTTACTCAGCAGAACAGAACGAGCTTTGAAGTCCTTGACAAATTCTCAGCTGCTTATGCAGATATTTCTCTTCCTCCCTACGTACTTACCAGCATCTCCCTCGCAGCCAGGAAGTGCAACTAAATCCCAAACAAGTTTCTGAGAGCTTGAAACAGATAACGAGATAGCACAATTCTAGTTCTACACTGTGAGCAAAATAAAGCCAGTTGAAACAAATTAATCTGCCTATGAACTAAGGGAACAGTTTAAGTTTCCTTTCTCTCTTGAAGTACAAATCAGGACTACTAACATTCTCATCATAACACCAAGAACAAAACAAATCCCTGCTCTCCCTGCTCTCGGGCTGAACAACAAGAGGTTTGCTTGAGAAATCTTTCAGTTTCCTCTACTTCTCTATCATGTTTTAAAGTATTCTTTTCGATCGGCAGCACTTTGTATCTAACAGAAAGCATCACTTTCCCTCGGTTTTAAAGGCTGTGTTTTACGAGGCTCACTGAAGCCCTTCCAGCGTGGATGTTATGTTATATCACCGCTCAATGGAGAAAAAAGAGGAAGTAACCTCATGTGTTGTAAACAGCGCTATCAAAACCAAGTTCAACAGGTCCAAAAACTCTTTTTTTCTTCTAGACCCACTACGCCTAGCAGCACTGTTTACGCAGTAGGCACAGCGCACGTACGAGGAAGGGCACTGCGCCGGGCCCACCCGCAGGCGGCCGAATGGCACCCGGAGCTCTCAGAGGAGCGCCTCTCACCCCGCACCGCGCCAGCCCTCCGGTCCCCGAGGCCGCCGGCCGCACACCGAGCCCGGACCCCGTCCGGCGGCACCCGGCCCGGCCAGGCCTCGCCGCCGGCCAGCTGCGGGAGGCCGAGGACGGCCCTTCCCAGCCGTGCGCTGCGCTCCGCCGCCGCCTCCCACAACTTCGAGGCGACTTCTACCCAGCTCCCGGCCCGCCCCGTCTCCACCACAGCGGCCACCCGCCGCCCCGTCGGCCCCGGCGCTCACCCCCAGATGACATAGTTGGTCTTGACGTTCTTCGGCCAGGAGAACTCGCCGAAGATCACCTCGTCGCCCTTCACCACGATCTCCTTCTTCTGCGTGTTGTACTGCCGCAGCACGCTCAGCACGTCCGCCATCTTCGCCCGAAGCCGCCGGCCGCCGCCGCTCCGCTCCGGCCCGGCCCCTCCGCCAGCCGAGGAAGGACCCCGCCGTCTGCCGACAGGCCCTGGGCTGCCTGCGTCGAACGCCTGATAGCAACCGACCTGCCGGGCCCGGAAAACCGAGGTGCGAGCACAAGCGCGTGCCCGAATAACGCTTTATAACTGGCTTAAGAATCTAACAGCATAACGGCCGCTCCGCCTCCCTCACCGCTGCTGCCCGATGGACGGCGGGCACAGGCAGAGCGCCGGGCAGCCGCGCTTCCCGCGGGGCGGTGCTGAGAGGAGGAGCCTGAGAGCGGTGCCGGACCGCCGTGAGGACTGCGTGAGAGCACCGCCCCTTCCTGGCGGCCGCCATGTTCCTGCAGAGGGCGCTGCGCCTGCGGGGCCGGTGGGTCGGGGGCTGTGAGGAGGGGGCGGCGGAACGGGCGGGTGGGTGGGGGGAGCTGGGTGCAGCCCGTATCACCTCTTGGGAGGGTCTGGGTGATCTCACAGCTCATAGCAGGCTGTTAATCTCCGTCTTCCTGCCTGCGCGAGGGAGCCGGCAGTGCAGGGTAAGGCGCGTAGGAACTGCCGTACTGCGGGCTTTGTGAGCTCCCACCTCACGGAGGAATTCCGTTTAAAGAAAATGGTACGAAGCCAACCTTTAAATTGGGGACTGCAGAACGTGTCGTGTGTTAAACTTAAATTTCTCTTCAGTTTTAGAATGGGAAATAGGCTGCCCACCTCTGTCGAGCTGTCTGATGCTGCTGCTGTGAATCAGATCCAGGTAACAGGTGATCCTCAAACTTAGTATTGCTCGCAGTATTGGGGTTTAAACCTTGTAAAGTTACCCGTCCCAAGTTTGTTGCTGTAGTAGCAGATTGGTAGCTTGCTGCTTGTTTTCGTACCCATTGGATACTGTTAAAATACACCAACTTACTAACTTGAATGTTCTTTTGAATATCTAGGAGGTAATCTCAGGCAACTGCGTGGTGATTTTCTCTAAAACAACATGCTTCTACTGCAGAATGGCAAAAAAACTTTTTGAGGGTTTAAACGTCGATTACACAGCTGTAGAACTGGATGTGAATAAAAATGGAAGCCAGTTTCAAGACATTCTTGAACAGATGACGGGTGGCAGAACAGTAAGTATGTTTGGGTTTTTTTTTTGCAAGTAATATGGCGATGAAGAACTTACACTGCACATTTTCCCTATGGGTTACAGCCATCTTGAAGTCTTAATTTTTGGTGGGCCAAGTAAATTTAGGATACAAGCTCTGAAATTAAAAGCAAGAACTGCAAGAGAGTTCTGTGCTTGGTTTTCCTCTTCAGGTCTGAGAGGTGTTGTTTTCTGTAATGCTACTAAGATCATTTAAGTATCAAACTCAGTTTTCATCTGCACGTACACTTCATTGTGTACAACACGTTTTATGTCTTAATTTTATGTAGCTTTGCCTGACTCAAATTTTAAAAATTTATTACAATCTTCCATATAGTGATTTTATTTTCCTTTTGAGAGGAACACGTAAACAAAGTCTTCAATTTCTGTAGACATAAGTTATGCAATAATACTGAAACATGAATTTGTATATTAAGAATGTAAATATTTCATATGTATATATTCACACACATACACTCACAATGAGACTGTAGTTTGTATGAACACAGAACAGTGCTTGCATGTGTATGGTGTTTGCTTAGATTTTGTTTTTTGAAGTAACAAATGCAAATTTCTCATTCCTGACAGGTCCCAAGAGTGTTTGTTAATGGGACTTTTGTTGGAGGTGCTACAGATACTCAAAGACTTCATGAAGAAGGCAAGCTGCTCCCATTAATTCATCAGTGTCAAGTGAAAACAAACTCTGGAACTACTATTTAGCCTCAGTTATCTTTTATATAAAATGGGTAAAAATTCAGACAAGTTAAAAAAATCACTAAGATGTACTGCAGCAGCTGGGCTTAAGCAGCTTCAGACTGTGCTTTTTTGAGTCTCAAGTGATTCTCTGACACAGACTTCACCGAACTGACAAATTTGTCTTCTTGCCTCAGCTTTACCACAACCACAGTGGCAGTTAACATTATGTATCTCTTGGAACCCAGGTCTGAGATAATCGTGTCATTTTTGTTACATCCTCATAATATGCCTCACACTATCAACTGTACAGGAGTTAAAAGTTTTTAAGAATCTTAGTGCCTGGGTGGTTTTTACTTGTTTTCTGCAAATAAGTTTGATTTCTGGTTTTGTTCCCACCCTTACACTGTATGGTCAGCCACCCTTACACTGTATGGTCAGTACAATGGCTCTGTAGGGGGCCACAAATCAATTATGAAGCAACAAAGTTGTAGTGATGTTACTGTGTAAAACTTGTTGAAAGTTCTGCTACTTCTACACTACTTGTACTACTCATTCAAGTGTTTTTGCCTCCTATTAAAAGCAGTACCTATACTTGCGCTTGTTTTGTGTTTTAACAGTATTGAAACGCTGTATTTTGTGCAAATTCCATTGTAATTTTGTTTATTATTTAATTGTAATTTATGGGAACAAGTTATGCAAACATGGAATCAATCAAGGAAGTCCAGTGGCAACATCCATTGTTCACTTTAATGGAAACTGAGAGTAGAAGTGAGTTAGTTTCATCACTGCCTTTCATAATCACTCTCAATCTGATCAGAGTCCAACAAAACCTTCAGCTACCCAGGCTTGCAAACAGCTCAGTTATCATGTTAAAACCAGCTAGGTTTTGATAGTACTGAAATACATTAAGATCTGCTGAAGATCTACAGAAGTCTTCCAAATCCAGCCCACTTGCTTTTAGTTCTTTTGTCATATATGTCTGTGGAAGCAGACATATTGCAGTAGTGGGCTGTTCTCTTGTGACAGGCCTGGATATGAAGGCTGCAGGATGTCTGACTTCATTTGCCTCCCTCTAATTTCAATATCTGATCACTTCACTACTGAAGTTTAATTGGTGCAGTAAAAAGGGAGAAGATGCTTGCCATTTTAGAACATTTAGAACATTAGGTAACCACCTTGCTCTTTACTCTGCAGTACCAGTCTATATACTGTCATTCAGGAATATCCTCGAGGTGTAAGCCAGGTCACCTGTGCCTAATCTGCAGCTACAGACTATGTTATGAACCATTCAATGCTATTTTGACACTTAAGGCCACACACAGTGAGTCCAATATGCATAGAGTTTATTTAGTATTTATATTCTACAGTCAAAAATGCAATTTACTAGCAGTATTAACTTGCAGTTAAATGTCTAAAAAACCCTAAATTCAATAGTTTCAGTAAAATGTACATCCAAAGCCAGACCAACCAATGCCAAGACTTGGTTATTTCAAGAAAGCTCATATGTCAGTAGTAAAAACTTCTTTCCTTAGTAAGAGACCATTACAGTACTAAAGATGCACAGTTTAGACTAAAAATGCTAGTCAAGGATTTTTATTCAGTCCCTCCTCAAGATAACAAAAGCTCTACACTGATCTTTAGCTAACTAGGATTGCAAGACTATCATCTGAATTTGACAGCTTCCTTTTTGGGATGCAGGTTTGAAATAAATTTAAATAATATTATTTGTAGAAAGTGTTCAGTATGCAGCTGGTCTGCACTGTGCATCTTTAATTCATGTAATTAGAGATAACACACTGACCTCATGTTTTCACCATTGCAATTTACTACTTATTTTTTCTAATTTCATCATTGTCTTAATTCTTGACAACGACACTCATTAAGTTAAACAAGCGTGCATCTCTCCCTAAATTTATACTTAATAAAGGAATTTATTTTGCACATATGCTGGTATCAAAGTATTCTTTGCCCATCATTCTTAGGCCAGTTATATTTTCTGACAAGGTTAATAATTGTGCACCTGGAAAGCCTGCAAATCCATAATGTAAGTACTCACGGTATGCAAAGAAATTTTTCATTTTGTTCCCTGTTAGAAAAAGCCCCCAAACAATAGTTTAAAATAACCCTTCGAGTTCTAAATTTCAGAAGTCTCAGGGCATTGTCACTTAAGGCAATATTCCGCTCCAATGGTTGAGAAAGCATGCTGTTTGCCTGCAGAGTCCAACAAGTGCCAATTTATTACAAAAAAATCATGTTCTTAAGGCAATCAAAGGGTTAATTATGCTTCTTTTTCAACTGCATTAAGGCTCCCCATCCAAATATTTTCTTGTTAATTTTGTGTAATTCCATAGAAAGTAGCAGCAAGACGGTGGCTTCGTTACCAGATAGCACAAAGCCCCCACATTATGTTTAAGTTGTTTAAACATGATATGGCAGCTGAAGTGTGGTTCTACTCTGGGAAAAAAAAAGGGGGGGGAAGGAGGCATTCAAAGCCAATCATTAAAACTTGCTTTTAAAAAAAATAGAAAAATCATCTTTAGAACAAAAGCTGTTTATCTTACCATAATTCTCTCCTTAGGCTTTGAATGTTCAAAATTACCCACTAAAATCCTCTGTAATAGGAATTATACTTAAGATAAGCATTCATCCAGCTCAAATACCACGCTCCTAAGAAGCTGGAAGCAAACTCAGTTATTTCACAAAGCAGACAGAACTGTGAATGCACTTATCTGCTCATTTCTTCCACAGGATTCTTCCTCAAGAGTAGAACTACACTTCTAGTTGAGAACATAATGGAACAGACATTTCTTTGTAATTAGTTGCACTTAAAAAAAGCTGGTATCATCAGGAAAACAGCTATCTCCATTATTTGTTAACGAAGCATTTGAGAAGTTCCCAACATACCATGTACACATATGCAAATATATAGATTTAGAATGCAGAAATACCCAGAGAAACCACATTTGACAGTATCAAAATCATCAATCCAACTTTAAGCACATTAACTTAAAGACATCATACTTTCTGCTTAAGTTAAAGTCTTAGCTCAGAGCAGCATACAGCCTTGTTTTACATTCCCCCCTTAAGTCTTACTTGGCAGCGTTGTACACTGTACTGTGTTGTGGTACAATGAAATCTATCATTTCAGCAAAATAGCCATTGGAAAAAATTACTCAAAACTTACTGTACTCTGTGAACCACTGCAAGCAGCTAAACAAACTTACAAACTGGCAAAATGCTTAACAAACAAGACAAAGTGTGAGCAAGATGAGTGACTTGTGCTCTGCTTTATTTCTACGCATTCTATTCTTCAAATGTTTTCAATATTGCAGAGAAGCTGCCCATTCATCTAGAGTATTCATTCACATGTTTTTCTTGTTCTGCATGTAACAGCAACTTGACAATATTAAAGGGAATGGAAAGCTCTGACCCACCAAACTAATTCTGAAAAGAAGATTTACATTTGAGAAGCCGTTTTTAAATAGCTCTGTGAAAATAGTACCATTTAATTGCAACAGCAGACGCTGGATTTTTAAAAGAATAAAGATACTTTTGTAATTTATGCAACTTTTAAAACCAAAGATCTGATAAATACAGCAAATTAAATACTCTGTTAGAGAATTATATAACCAAAGAAAGGTAAATAAAGTTGTCCTGCTTTTAAAATTAAGTACTATGACATCAGTTGTGGAATAAGTTGCTTAGCTAAGCTATCATGCTCAACAATGGCATAAAGGCAGAACACAGGCAACAGAAGAGAGGAGGAGAGCATGGAGCGAAGAGAGATTCAAGTATAAACTAAATTTCACTCAGTGATTGGAATGATGGGGAAAAAAAGCCAACATGAACAGAGAAAAGCAGAACATGGGAAAATACGGTAATACCAAAGCCAAACATCAGTGGAACCAACAGTAGTGCTTCTGGTATGACAGCTACAAGTTAGGTACACGATTAAGAAGAACAGTATCTTCCAATGGAGAAAAATATTTTCCTAGTGTTTTTTTCAGTTGGAGCCATTGTTAAAATACATTTCCAAAATGACTGGTGTTCTTCTTTAGCCAAGAACATACACTCTATCAGATAGCCTCTCAACATCCTGCTCCCACAATTATTTAACTGTGGTTTAAAGCAGCAAGTTATTTTACAGCCAGTTATTAGCGGCCATTGCATACTGGGCAGTTAAACAAGCCTCACTAACTTTGTATCTAATCTAGACTGACCTTTAGACTTCTTTAAGCACAGAAAACTGCAAATTAAGCCCCTGTGTAATTGAGTTCTACAAGCATCCCAAACCCTACTCTCTCTTGCTATACAATTCCTGGCACAAAATTTTAATTCTTGGCAAAATCACAACTGTCTTGATTCATTATACAAAGGTGACTCATTGTATTATATTTAGAAGCCTTCCATATTCTTAAGCGTATCACTGCAGTGAAAAAGCCTGCCCCTCTGATGTCCACCGCTTACAGCTCTTCACTATAGATGAACATTTTACTTCAGCTGTGCTGCCAACCATTAGATCCTTTCCTTAATGGTAAAGTGCCTGACTATTACTAGATTATTATGTCTCAGACTAAGAATTATTAGGGAATTGCACTGAAATGACAAACTGAAATCAAACTGAAAGCCTATTAATGGTGACATGTATCAGGAAACCTGCATTCGCCCAGCTGCGCTTTTATACTTTAAGTGTTTATTCTAAACTTCACCATTTTTAAATTCTTTCCTGTTCTATTTTACAGGTGAACTGCAGAGCACAATTACAGCCCCATTTTTTGTTTTATTAGTCCAAGTGTTCCTCCAATGCAAAAGATACTATCAAATTGAGAAAGTCATGTCTCCTCTTTAGTGAAAGGGCAGGTTACTGATGGTGTATTGAATTATCACCTAAATTTAACAATTTTGTCTCAGGTCTTGTTTAAAAAAAATTGGAGCATGTTATATTACACATTACAATTGCTCCCCCTTCACATGTTCAGGTACCATTTTAGGAATTACCAGTTTATAGGAGAAATGTGTATTATAGCACATAAGTCATACTGTCCTCCTGAAATCCAGCATGCAGGCAGATAAAAAACCCATCAACTTTTTCCTATGGAAAAGAAAAATGCATCATTCTTATGCCACTTAACACAAGACAGTAACAACCCCAGAAAGAAGACAGCAGGAACAGGGGTCAGCACACCACAAAGTAAGCTGACAGCTGAAACACTTTGGTTCTCCCTCTGTGCAAACTTTAAAGGGGG